GGGTGAACCAGCCCAGGTCAGAAATGAAGCAGGTCAAAACTCCCGTGCTGATCAGTAGTGGGATAGTGCCCATGAATAGCCACTGTACTCCAGCCTGGGCAACATAGCCAGACCCCATCTCTTAAAAAGATGAAAAACAAAAAACTGTCTACTAAGGACATGAACTTTAACAAGATACATGGCTTGGCATGGTGGCTCACACCTATAATCCCAGCACTTTGGGAGGCCAAGTCGGACAGATCACTTGAGGTCAGGAGTTTGCGACCAGTCTGGCCAATATGGTGAAACTCCATCTCTACTAAAAATACAAAAATCAGCTGGGCGTGGCGGTGTGCACCTGTCATCCCGGCTACTCAGAAGGCGGAGGCAGGAGAATTGCTTGAGCCCGGGAGGCGGAGGTTGCAGTGAGCCAAAATTGTGCCACTGCACTCCAGCCTGGTGCCTGGCGACAGAGTAAGACTCTGTCTCAAAAAAATTAATTAAATAAATATTTTTTTCAAAAAAGCAAAGAAACTAGGAGGCAGAGGTTTCAGTGGGCTGAGATCGAGCCTCTGTACTCCAGTCTAGGAGACAGAGCGAGACTCCATCTTAAAAAAAAAAAAAAAAAAATACACAACATACTCACAGGCCTCAGGGTACAGATGCCAGAAACAGTAAAGTAGCGGGTTACAGTAGCATCAGGTCCATTTTCAGGAGGAGTTGAACACCAATCCCAATAGTTCTGGAAGTTCTCTCCTCAACTACCTTGTGTTGTCCATGCTATCCGACCTCCATAGCTGGGGATTTCAAGGAGAATCCTTTACACAAGTGTAGTACAGTAGTTTGGCCTAACAGCAGGGCTCAGAGATTTATGCAGTGATACTGAGAAGTCTACAGAAACCCAGATTACAAATTTAACATTTAGAACAATAATAAATTGAAATAAGTACAATAAAATATCTTCTTCCAAGGGAAATTTTTAAATTAAAATAGATTTACATTATAGAAGGGACACACAAACCATCTCAGGTTGGATGATGAATTATGTCATATAGTGGATCTCTCTTTCAAAGGGCTTACTTTGGACCTATGCACCCAAATGTGCAATGCAGTCCTCAGCACCTCCCTGACCACCCCTATGACTCGGGGCATGTCACTCATACCCAAAGTGCTTAAGTCACTATCATTTTTTTTAAGAATATTATCTGGCACTTGTAAGAATAAGAAAAAGATGAGTATTTTCAAACATATCCAGACCAAAGACAACTTAACCCACCTTCACTGGTCTGGGTCACCATCAGCTCCTCACTAGATAAACACAACCATCCCAGACAAGATGCTTTACTTGTGCTCTGCCCCCCACAACACCAAATTCATTCTTCACCTAGGAGCCAATGTGATCTGTTCAAAATAATGTCACAAAAATAGCAAAAGAAAGAAAGAAACAGCGACCACATCTTCCTCTCTCACTTTAAGCCTGTCAGTTCTTCCCTCTACACTTAAAAGCCCAAATGTCGTATGATGGCCGGAGAAGCCCACTGACCACTTTCCTATTCCTCCCACCCACAAAACTCAGGTCAGCCTCCAGGCCTCTGGGCTTGCTATTCTTTCTGTCCCCATATCTTGAAAAAGCTGGGTTCTTTTTATCCTTTGAATCTGTGCTTAAATGTCCTTATCTCATCATCCTAAGATGCTCCCACTAGAATGTAAGCTCCACGGGGGCAAGAACACTGCCTGTTCTCCTCCCCCACATCCCTATCCCTTGCACCTGGCACAGTGTCTGGCACATAGCAGGCACTCTCCACATTTGGTAAACAACCAGAAATAAAAGAGAATAGGCAAGTGTAGAGAGAGAATAAGTCGGTTTGTGGTTGCCTGTGGGCTGGGGGTGATAGCAGGGAATGTGGAATGACTGCTTAATGCATAGAACTTGGAGGGATGACAAAAATGTTATGGAATTCAATAGAGGTGATGGTTGCACAATTCTGTGAATGTACTCAAAACCAATGAATTGCACACTTTAAATGGATGCAGTATATGGTGTGTATTATATGGTAAATTATATCAATAACTGTTATATAAAAAAAGAAAAGAAAAAACATAGAAGGAAAGAAGAAGGAAGGGAGAGAGAAATTGTGGTTAAGCTTCAGGTTAATAATTGTCTACAAAAAAAACTGACGAAATCTACGGATACTCTCACACCTCTGAAACCCATACCTGGATCTCCTTGGTTTCTATGAGCCACCTTTGGTTGGTTTTGACTGTTTTTAAGCCTTAGAGAACACAACCTAGTATAAACAGTTATAGTTAAAAGGAAAATAAGATAATTATTATTTAAGAAATCAAATGTTCCACATGGATTAACAAGAACAAAGATTTTGTAAATTTCTTCCTTTGGAAACAATGTCCCACATCATAAAAACTAAGAATATAAAGCCCATGTGACTGTGCTTCATTTAAAGCATCTGAGGATATTCACCTTTGCAAGACCTGCTCGGTGGGCTCCTTTAGACTCCCTGTATGCAAGGTATTTGTTGAACTCCCGGAACGCCTCCATGGAGGGTCTGAATGTCATTATCTTATAGCTGGGGTTCAGAGGGCTTTCCGTCTCAGCCACCTCCATGATGGCTCAGTCAGTGTCTGCAGAGAAGACAGTAGGGTACACAGAACTGAATTATTATGTGCTTTAGATCATTTTTCCCAAATACCACATCCAGTTCCCCCAGCAGGAACTCTTCTCTTTCAGTTACTCCCCATTCCCTTCTACCATTCTCAGGGAGACTCCCTCATCTCAACATGAACCCCTGAACAAACAAGAACCTCTAGTCACTCCAATTGCTAAGTTCCCTATTCCTGGCAGAGAGCTGCTGACCTGATTGTACCGCTGACCTCCTCAAAACCCTTCCAAGTAAAAATGAATTTTCTTTTTTTTTTTTTTTTTTTTGGAGACAGAGTCTTGCTCTATCGCCCAGGCTGGAGTGGAGTGGTGTGATCTCGGCTCACTGCAACCCCCGCCTCCCTGGTTTAAGTGATTCTCCTGTCTAAGACTCCCAAGTAAAGTAGCTGGGATTACAGGCGCCCACCACCACACCTAGCTACTTCTTTTTTTTTTTGAGACGAAGTCTTGCTCTATCACCAGGCTGCAGTGCAGTGACACGATCTCAGCTCACTGCAACCTGTGACTTCCTAGTTCAAGCAATTCTCCTGCCTCAGCCTCCCAAGTAGCTGGGGATACAGGCACGCACTATCACGTTCCACTAATTTTTGTATTTTTAGTAGAGATAAGGTTTCATCATGTTAACCAGGCTGGTCTCAAACTCGTAACCTCAGGCAATCCACCCACCTTGGCCTCCCAAAGTGCTAGGGTTACAGGCATGAGCTACTGCACCCAGCCATAAAAATGAATTTTCTAACCTTCCAAGTTTACAAAAGATGTTGCTTCTGCATACCAGTTCCAAAACAGACTCTCACTCACATGTGCACCTACACAAAAGCCCACTCTAGACTGAACAGAGAATGTTAAAACTCATTAGCAGAGTTTACTCAGGTGTGCTTCCAGATTGCCGTATCACGCCTTCCTATAGTAACTTACAAGCCATCCATTCAGCAAAATTGCCAGACACTGGGCAAGACACAGAAAAGAATGAGGATGGAGACAGAAAGGGATGAGGTTTGTCTTCACCTTTCAAGCTATCTAGAGGCTGAACAAACTTCCATATAAAAATGCACACAGGAGAGAGCTGGAAGTGGAGTTGGCCAGGTTATCCCGAGGGGTGGAGAAGCAGAGGCCCAGGAGGAGGGGGAATAAAGAAGAAAAACTGGAGCCTTACCATCAAACTTCGGAAGCAGAAGCCAGAGAAAAAGGTGGAATGGACAAGTGACACTGTGGACAATGAACACATGGGCCGCCACTCATCAAAATGCTGCTGTATTTATAAGAAATCTCGGGCCTTTGGTGAGAGCTCCACAGAAAGTGATGAGGAGGAAAAAGAGGGCTGTGGTCATACACACTGTGTACATGGCCACCGCAAAGGACGGCGTCGTGCATCGCTGGGACCGACCCCCACCACCCCTCCCCAGCCTCCTGACCCTTCCCAACCCCCACCAGGGCCAATGCAGTGCTAAATTCCTCTCTCTCCCACCATTCCTATGTCTGTCTGGCCCTGAATGTATCCATGTGGCTACTTTTCCAGCCCCTTCCTTCCCTCTCTTCTGCCTGATAGAGGGAAGAGAAAGAGAAGAGTGGACAGAGATCCTGGAATTCTGACTTGCTGCTATTTCAGAACCCAGGCTCCTGGGTTCCCCTAGTCCTCATTTTTCCTCCCAATACTCACCCTTTTCTCTCGAGGCATCTAGGCACCCTGGTCCCAGTCTCTTCCTTTTGTTCTCACTGCCAAACTGCCTGTCCTGGGATCTAGTTATCCTGGCCCTGCATTCTCAGCTTGAGTAGCGAACACTTAAACTGGGTTTTCTTTTTTGTGAAAGAGCATGCTTTATTGAGAAGCAGACTGCTGCACAGTGACTGACAGACGAAGGCCACCCAATGGGCACTTACACATCGTACTCCAAAAGACACAGGGTGTTTTGCTAATAAAAACCAATGGGAACAGGGATTCCGTTACCCCAACCTCATCCCTTTCAGGGATGGAGAAATCTCCCATTTTCCTGATGGCAGCTGTTGTTCACTAGAGATAAAGCCCCTCAGGGGTGCCTTCCTGTTTCTTATAAA